TATTATTATTATTATTATTATTATTATTATTAATATTAATTTAATTCCATATCCATATTATTATTAATTAGTAATTTTTTTTTATAGAATTTTCCTTTTTTACTGGTATCATTATTATGGCCTTTTTTTTTTGTTTGGCAATCTTGCATTTCCTTTTCTATTTTCAATTAATTAAGAATTCTTTTTTATTTTTTTTCCTATTTTATTGATTATTATTAGTTTTAATTATTCAGTGAATTACAGATTCTTTTTTATTTTCATGTTTTACTGCTAACTTTTTTACTAATTATTATTAGTATTAATTAATCAGTGAATTTAATATTCCGTGAATTAAGGATCTTTTTTTTTCCTATTTTACTACTAACTTTTTTACTGATTATTATTTGTATTATTAATTAGTAATTTTTTTCTTTCTTTATTCTTTGGGCAGGAATGCAAGGAATGAGGATTTTGTTTTTAATAAGAGTATAGATAGACTATAGAAATTTTATAAATATATTTCTTAATAATAAAAGTTCAATTACATTATATGATTTTTACATAAAATAAAAAAACATGTAACAATATATAGACTTTATAGTAAATATGAAGATATGCTAAAATAAAAATTACCTAATTAAAAAAAATTAATTTTTTTTTCATGCCTCAACATAATCACATGTTATTTTCATCTATAATCAAATCCATATTCACCTTCATTTTTTTTTTTAAAATACTGTCATCTATTCATCTTCATTTTCTAATCATCTATTTTAATTTGTAGGAAATCAGGATAACACATCAAACTGGAAACTACATAAGAGGATTTTATTTTTATTAATAGTATACATTATTATTATTATTATTATTATTATTATTATTATTATTATTATTATTATTATTATTATCATTATTATTAATTTAATTCAATATCCTTATTATTATTAATTAGTAATTTTTTATATGATTTTCTTTTTTACTTGTATCCTTATTATGACATTTTTTTTCCACAATCTTGCCTTTCCTTTTCCATTTTCAATGAATTAAGGAATCTTTTTTATTTTCCTATTTTACTGATTGTTAGTAGTATTAATTAATCATTGAATTATGTTTCCTTTTCTATTTTTAGTGAATTACATATTTTTTTATTTTCTTATTTTACTGCTAACTTTTTTACTAATTATTGTTAGTATAAATTAATCAATGAATTTTATTTTCTTTTCTATTTTCCTTGAATTGAGGATCTTTTTTTATTTTACTATTTTACTGCTAACTTTTTTACTGATTATTATTATAGTGTTATTAATTAGTAACTTTTTGCCTTTTCTATTCTTTCGGTGGGAATGCAAGCAAGGAGGATTTTGTTTTTAATAAGAGTATAGATAAACTATAGAAATTATATAAATGTATATCTTAATAATAAAAATTCAATTACATTATATATGATTTTTACATAAAATAGAAAAACATGTTACAATATATAGACTTTATAGTAAATAGTAAGATATGCTAAAATAAAAATTACTTAATTACAAAAAATATTTATTTTCATGCCTCAGCATAATCACATATTATTTTCATCTATAATCAAATTCATATTTACCTTTTTTTTTTTTGAATACTATCATCTTCATTTTCCTAATCATCTATTTTAATTTGTAGGAAATCAAGAAACTACTTCAAAATGTAAACTATATAGGAGGATTTTATTTTCATTAATAATAATAATAATAATAATAATAATAATAATAATAATAATAATATTATTATTATTATTATTATTGTTATTGTTATTATTTTTAATTTAATTTCATATCGTTATTATTATTAATTAGTAATTTTTTATAGGATTTTCCTTTTTTACTGGTATCTTTATTATGACCTTTTTTTTTGCACAATCTTGTCTTTCCTTTTTCATTTTCAATGAATTAAGGATCCTTTTATATTTTCCTATTTTACTTATTATTATTAATATTAATTAATCAGTGAATGCTATTTACTTTTCCATTTTCAATGAATTGCGTATTTTTTTTATTTTCTTATTTTTGTGCTAACTTTTTTTACTGATTAATCAGTGAATTTCATTTACTTTTCCATTTTCCATGAATTAAGGATTTTTTTTATATTTTACTGCTAACTTTTTTAATGATTATTATTACTATTATTATTTTTCATCTATAATCAAAACCATATTCACCTACATTTTTTTTTTTTTGAATACTATCACCTTCATTTTCCTAATCATCAATTTTTATTTGTAAGAAATCGGGATACTACTTCAAACTGGAGTATGTATTATGATATGAGAGTTCCATTATATTCTATAACATTTCTTATACATTAATTACACATGGGATACTAAATAATATCTTTAATGTATGTTTGGACCTACATGTGCAATAGTGAACAAACCCAAGAGTTAGAGATAGATGAACACAAGTAAATTCAAACTCATCATATAAAAAAAATCAATTTCCGGTTCGGCAAAGCGCTTCGTTGCCTATGAGGAGAAGAGTTTGATTTCTGATAAGGAAAACGCCGGTCCTTCCTTGCTGTCGGAAAATTAAGAAATCAGCTTTGTAGTCAATGTTACCAGGGTCTCCATCAACGCCCAATCCGTTGGATCCTTCGGCACTAAAAACACTTCAAGCTACAATTGCAAAATAATAATAATAATAATAATAATAATAATAATAATAATAATAATCTTGAAAATTGTATAAAAAAATACTTACGTTTTTATGAGTGCAACACCAAGATATGATTCCACAGAGAGAACAGAAATTAAAGAAGATGAAAACAGTGCAAAAGAAAAAATTATGATTTCCAAACTCACCAATCCATTATATTTATAGGTAGAAAATATGAGAATTATGATTATATTAACCTAATTTACTACACAGAATTTACTTTTTAAATGTATGTATACACCTAAATTTAATTTACTTTATATAATGTATGTATACACGTAAATTTCTTAATACTTTACTTTACCAATTACCTAATATATATTATTCATACACCTAATATATATTATTACTTAATACTTGATATCTCTTAATCTTGTATATAATTTCTAACCTAATATATATTATTACTTAATCTGCACATGGAATAATCCCTTGATCTTATATATAATTTCTTTAATTTACTTAATCTGCACATGGAATATCCCTTAAAATCTTATATATAATTTCTTTAATTAATTAAATTTAGATATTACACAAATGCCCCTAAATTTTGGAGAGAAAATTTGTGAAGGGGGATTTTACTTTTATAAATATATAGATATAGATTTTATTTTATACTTGAACAATAATATTTTTATTATACTTGAACAATAATATTATCAATTATATTATATTATAGAATATAATACCATATATAATATTACCAATTAATAGATTTTATTTAATTTTCATTTGACAATTACTTACCAAATAAGTTTTACTACAAAAGTTTTGGGGGGAAAATTTGTTAGGAGAATTTTACTTTTATATATATATATATATATATATATATATATATAGATATAGATATATAGATTATAATAAGAATTCGAATGTAGAATTATAATACAAATAAGAAAATAGAAAACAATATATTCTATTAGAATTGTATTACACTATTCTATTAGAGATAGTATTACACTATTTTACAATATTATAATAAGAATTCGAATGTAGAATTATAATAAAAATAAGAAAATAGAAAACAATATATTCTATTAGAATTGTATTACACTATTCTGTTAGAGATAGTATTACACTATTTTACAATATTATAATAAGAATTCGAATGTAGAATTATAATACAAATAAGAAAATAGAAAACAATATATTCTATTAGAATTGTATTACACTATTCTATTAGAGATAATATTACACTATTTTACAATATTATAATAAGAATTCGAATGTAGAATTATAATACAAATAAGAAAATAAAAAACAATATATTCTATTAGAATTGCATTACACTATTTTACAATATTATAATAAGAATTCGAATGTAGAATATAATACAAATAAGAAAATAGAAAACAATATATTCTATTAGAATTGCATTACACTATTTTACAATATTATAATAAGAATTCGAATGTAGAATTATAATACAAATAAGAAAATAGAAAACAATATATTCTATTAGAATTGTATTACACTATATTCTATTAGAGATAGTATTACACTATTTTACAATATTATAATAAGAATTCGAATGTAGAATTATAATACAAATAAGAAAATAGAAAACAATATATTCTATTAGAATTGCATTACACTATTTTACAATATTATAATAAGAATTCGAATGTAGAATTATATACAAATAAGAAAATAGAAAACAATATATTCTATTAGAATTGTATTAGAGATAATATTACACTATTTTACAATATTATAATAAGAATTCGAATGTAGAATTATAATACAAATAAGAAAATAGAAAACAATATATTCTATTAGAATTGTATTACACTATTCTATTAGAGATTATATTACACTATTTTACAATATTATAATAAGAATTCAAATGTAGAATTATAATACAAATAAGAAAATAGAAAACAATATATTCTATTAGAATTACATTACACTATTTTACCGCAAACCACGTAGATTTGTACAACATAAACCATAGATAATTTATGCAATCAATTGCACACAGAAGAACGAGAATTTAGAAAGGAAATTAACTAATCATTATTTATTTATATATATTATAAAGCAAGTATTGCTTCTTTCCCCCACAAAAAAATAAATAAATATAAATAATAATAATAATAAAATTAAAAAAAAAAAAAAAACAAAAACTTAGTATTGTACTAATTCCAAAATTGTAAAGTTTATAAAAGTTTGGATCCCATACAACTTACAATTCGTAAAAGTTTCGATCCCATACAACTTACAATTCGCCAACCCTAACAAAGCTACTATACATTGGTATTTATTGTTTCCTTTCATCTTCAAGAATCCAAACCTCTGAAATATAATTCTGCTCCGATCTGTTTTCTTTCAATGGAGCTGATTCCCGGTCTTCCCAACGACGTAGCTCATGAATGTCTTATTCGGATTTCGTTTGATCAGTTATCCAAGGCTGCATCTGTGTGTAGAGCATGGAACGCTGTGATTAAACAGCCGGAGTTCCGCCGGCGCCGGAAAGCTTCTGCTCTAACCCGACCTGTCATTGTCATGGCTCAGAGAATGGATGGTTTAAGAGAATCGGATCCGTCGTTTTACCGGCTCACGCTATTCGAGCCGGTGAAAAGGCGTTGGCGCAATTTTCCGCCGATACCGGAGATGGCGGAACGGATGCCGGTGTACTGTAGCGTAGTAGGAATTGGAACGGAGGTGGCGGTGATAGGCGGTTTCCACCCGGTTACACGGCAGCATCTGAATTCAGTTTTCATCTACAACTTCTTATCCGCCACGTGGAGGCGCGGCGCCGATATGCCATGCAAGGGTCGCGCGTTCTTCGGATGCGCGGCATCGGCGGCGGACGACGGGACAGTGGTGGTCGCCGGCGGTGTGAACTTGGGCAACAGCGTGTTGAAATCAGCGTTGGCGTACGACGTGGCAAGGGACACGTGGACAACCTTGTCGGACATGTCATTTGGGCGAATCGAGTGCACGTGTGTGTTCCACCGTAGCAAGTTCCACGTACTCGGCGGCTTTAACGATCCACATGACTTGGATTCCAAACAACCTGCCGAAACACTCGACCTTGTAACCCGACAATGGTGCCTAAGCGACATAGTCACAGATTATGAGATCATATCGAAGCGAGATATTTACGTGGAGGTTGGAGGGATATTATACACAATTAAGGAAAGACATGACGTGATTGCATTAGAGGACGCCACATGGGTGTTTGTCGCTCGGGTCCCAATCTACACATCTAGCGTGGTATATGTGACAGGGTGGCCGGGGAAGATTATGGTGATTATTGGAAATACAAAATATGGTGCAGCTAAGAGAGCTTATGTGCTGGAATTGAAAACTAAGAAATGGACCAAAGTACAAATCCCGAGTATCGTGGCAATGTTCAATCCAGTTGTTGTATACACATCTAAAAAGAACAATTATATTTTGCCCTTAAATTAGTGTGACAAACACTCTTTTTCTTTTTCTTTTTTGAATACATTTGTCTTAATTAGATGATTGAGATTCAATTATTTACAATGCGTTACATTTCGTGTTTACAATATATTTTGGAAAGAATATATATGGTCTCAAAGTGAAAATGTGATGCATTTCAATTGTTTTAAGTTTCTATTAGAGATTTGTACAAAACAAAATGTGACATTGAAAGTTATGCATTAAACGTGGCAAAAATAATTCCGTTAAGTAAACCAACTACCAAGGAAAACGCTTTCGGAGATCGAGATTTGTTTTTCATCGAAAACGAAGAAGGCCGAGGATATGCGATGACATCAAGATTATTACCATTCCATTTAAGTAAGAGAATTAAATTTGATAGATATTAAATTGGAGATATTTCATAAAAATAAATAAATAATATACTTTGGAGAATTTTAGACCCTTATTAATTTAAACAAGTAATCTTTTTTTTTTTTACCATTCAAGTTAAGAGAATTAAATTTGATAGATATTAAATTGGAGATATTTCATAAAAATAAATAAATAATATACTTTGGAGAATTTTAGACCCATATTAATTTAAACTAGTAATTTTTATTACATTGTAGTATCTGTTCATATACTTTCTCAATCTACTGAAACACAAAGAACCAATAACGCCTCCACTGCACAGGGTTTTCTTAGTAAGGTTTTTAATGAGACAACCAATGTATCATATGATGTCATAAATATCATGTACTCTTTTTCTCAGCTAAGTTTTACCAATGTATCATATGATGTCATAAATATCATGTACTCTTTTTCTCAGCTAAGTTTTTTTACACATAATTTTCCTAGTGAGGTTTTTAACGAGGCATGAATATTTTTAAATATAATATCCATATACCTTGTGTTTTTCTTGTCTAGGTTTTTTTCCATAGGGGTTTTCTAACAAATTTTTAATAAGGCAAAGCGGTGGTCAAATAATGTCCAAAGGGGAGTGTTATAATATTTCATTTATTATGGATAATATTATTGATTTGTAAGAACATCTGTAACATTATGTCATTTAGTAAAATACTTAATGATTATACATGTATATATATTCACATATTGGAATAATAGAGGTGCGGTTATGTGTGGCTTATTTGTATTCTTCATCTTTTCTCTACCTTCTTTATCTACATTCCCATTGATCAATATGTTTGAGCCAATAGGCTGATTACAACAAAAAATTAATATGATTAAATTTTTTAAAGGATACACTGTGATCTTGTGTGGCACTGTAAATTATACTCTATAATAAAAAAAAATATTTAATATGATTTTAGACGTACGTGATAATCAAGATAAAATAATGAATGAGTGTAAGAATGAATGAAGATGTGGCACATGAATTAGTTTCTAATTTATTGTACTTGTGTAGTTATATGTATGTTTTGTTATGTAATTTTAAAGTTCAAGTGAGATATGTATAAGTGTCAATTGTAACTGAGCAGCTGAGCTCGTAATACAATTGGCACTTGCACACATCTCACTTGAACTTTAAAATTGCATAACATGCATGTAACTACACAAACACAATAAATTAGAAATTAATTTATGAGAGATGTAGGTGTTTGAGTGAGGTGTGTACTAGTATCAATTGTAATAAAGAAATCGGAGTTGGAAGTATCTCAAGGCAATAATAATACGGTGTAACAATATAATACGGAGAGAGAAAGAGAAGAGTTGGTCTTGTAAGTTAGATTTTTTTTTCCCAGTGAGTATGCGTGAAAATAATAATAATAATAATAATAATAATAAGTAAAGGACCTTGTGGTCCAATGGCATCAAATTGAATTTTACTTGAGAGATTGTGGGTTTGAGTCTCAGGCGCTATTGATTCTTTGTGTTTCGTGCGTCAATTTGCAAATTAGGCAATTTGTTTATATGCCAGGTAGCTCAGAGTGGTTTATTGGATTAATGAAAAAATAATTTTATTATGTTATTTGGAATAAAAAAAAATTTAATAGTGTTATATTGTATTACGAATATAAATTTGAATGTAAAATTGTGAATAGGAATGTTGGAAACAATATTTTCTCTTAGGCAGCTCATTTGTTAATTAGGCAATTTGTTTATATGCCAGGCAGCTCAGAGTGGTTTATTGGATTAATGAAAAAATAATTTTATTATGTTATTTGGAATAAAAATTTTAATAGTGTTGTATCGTATTACGAATATAAATTTGAATGTAAAATTGTGAATAAGAATGTTGGAAACAATATATTCTCTTAGCTAGGCAGCTCATTTGTTAATTAGGCAATTTGTTTATATGCCAGGTAGCTTAGAGTGGTTTATTGGATTAATGAAAAAATAATTTTATTATGTTATTTGGAATAAAAATTTTAATAGTGTTGTATTGTATTACGAATATAAATTTGAATGTAAAATTGCGAATAGGAATGTTGGAAACAGTATATTCTCTTAGAGGGTGTTGGGAATGTAAGATTACCTTGTGTGTTTGGTTTGGATGATGTAATATAATATTACCTTGTTTGGTTCAAGGTTATATTTTAGGTTATATGGATCAATTTACAATAATGTCCTCAATATATATATATATATATATATATATATATATATATATATATATATATATATATATATATATATATACATACATATATACATATACATATATATAATGTGTGTATTTATTTATACTAGTATTTGCACCCGTGCGATGCACGGAATGAATTTGTTGTAATATATGAATCGATATATAATTATTTAAATTAGAACATCAAATATATATTATATAATGCAATTAAGGATATTGTTTGGATCGTTTATATATTTTGATGTTATCATTGCTTGAATTTGTGCAAATAATTGCTCAAATTAATAGCTAATGTTTAGATGTACGCAAACGGTGCTATAACTTTAAAGATTTTATTTATCATTATTTAGTATTTTCATAAATTAGGCAAATGTCCTCGTTCTCTAACAACTCAGTTATAGAAATGAATTGGTATCCTTATTCATTTGTATGGAAGATATATGTTTTTTGTCTAGATATATAGCAATATTTTCATTTAAAAAAAAAAACTTAATATCACCGATTATATTTACACATTATTGAAACCTCTTTGTAGACGACATTGGTAGTGACAAGACAATCTTGTTCATCTCTGTCTAGATATAACACCTTCAATCCATCAGGACGGGTTACTTGAGTTAAAATATATAATGGTAGAATATTACTCAATTAGTTATCGTTTTATATTTTCAGTCAATTAGTGATATCAGATTCATTTTCAGGCAATTATTCTTTTTTATTTTCAGTCAATTATAATATCAAATGCAGTGATATTTTTACCTAATTTTCGTTCCATTTTTAATTGATGATGTAGATGTTATTATTGAAATATTTTCGTTCCATTTTTAATTTTCCTTTACTATTCTTTAAAATATGCATTTACTATTGATAATGTAGAATATTATTATTGAAATATTTTCCTCCAATTTTAAATTTTCATTCCATTTTTAATTAAAATGCAATGATATGATCATTTTTTTAGTCAATCATGGATCATTTTTTATTTGCAATCAATTATTAATATTTATTTCCTTTTATATTTTCAGTCAATTATTATTTTTTCAGTTAATTAGTCAATTAGAATATAGATGTAGTGATATTGTTACCTAATTTTCGTTACATTTTAATTTGATAATGTAGAATATTATTACTGAAATATTTTCGTTTCATTTTTAATTACATTTACTATTTTTTAAAATATGCCTTTACTACTTGATGTTGTAAAATATTATTATTGAAATATTTCATTTCTATTTTTAATTTTCCTTTACTTCTTAAAAAAAAAAAAAAAAAAAAAAAAAAAAAAAAAAAAAAAAAACTTTGAACTTCTCACTACTTGATGGGCAAGCAATTATGTTTGTAAACATTTTCAAGAGCTCATCTTTCCAAACATTTTCAATGTGATATCAAAATGATCTTATATCATTCTTCGTATTTTTTTTAATTTTAATTTTATTTTGTCAATCGTTTTGTTTGGATTATTATTATTATTATTATTATTATTATTATTATTGACGATTTAAATAAAATTGAGATTGACAAATTAATCACCAAATTTTAACAAATTCGTCATTTTAACAATTTATCTTTAATCAAAACACTAAAAATATTATTTAATAACTCAGTAATTTGCTCTAAACTCCTAAAAAGTAAAACAACACATACATTTTGGGTTAATCTTTCCCAAGCCCCAATAATAATAAATAAATAATAAATAATAAATAATAAATAAATAAATAAATAAAAACTAAAATAAGAATACAAAGGTAAAACTTCTTAAATAAGAACCTTTTGACTTCGCAATACTTGCCCACATTGATGGGCAAGCAATTATGTTTATAAGAGGATCATTGCTCCTCTTATATATAGAGGAGCTCTCTCTTTTCAAACATTTTCAATGTGGGATCAAAATGATCTCACATCATTTATAAAGGGTGGCTCGCCCTTGTCTTTTTTTTTTTTTTCTTTCTTTTTTTTTTTTTGTTAATTTTAATTTTATTTTGTATATAGTTTTGTTTGGATTATTATTATTATTATTATTATTATTATTATTATTATTATTATTGTTATTATTATTATTGTTGTTATTATTATTGTTGTTGTTGTTGTTGTTATTATTATTGTTGCTGTTGTAATTGTAATTTGATTATTTGGCAAATTCGACAAAATTTTAAAAAAATTCGTCTGTTTAACATTTTATATTTAATCAAAACACCAAAAATATTATTTAATAATTTAGTAATTTGCTCCGAACTGCTAAAAACTAAAACAACTCATATACATTTTGGGTTAATCTTTCTCAAACCCCCTAATAAATTAAAAAAAAATAAAAAAAAAAACTAAAATAAAAAGCCATTAAGATAAAGTTTCTTAAATAAGAGCCTTTAGACACGTTGGGCTTCAATATGTTGATAAAGTTTACATGTAACAGGGTCAATCG